AATAATTCAAACTAAATAATCAACAATAAATAGTAATGCAAAAGGAATACGTAAATAAAAAATCTTTGTTACCTACAATAAAGAATCTTTAATATTAGTACCTAGTAACTACATATTCTTTGAGTAATACATGAACAATCTAATTTTTATAAGAAGCACTTCTTAATTGGCATTTTTTTGCAGAGCTCAAAGTAGGTCGATGATGCAGGACTATAATGCTTTTGAATGAATACATTAAGAACTTGCACGATTTTGAAAAGAACAAGAACAATTAAGACTATTAGCTATTTAAACGAAAAGAGAAAACGTAAGAGCAATCACTTCGTTTAGGCCAAGTCATAATAAGCGCTTGAATCATCAAACAATAAAGAAGTTCAACAACATGCGAAGGAAGTAGTTTTCAACAAAACCCCTAATCTAACAATAAGATAGTAATGTTTACAAGGCTTGACAAAGATAGGTGAACAAGAACTTTATGAATCAAGTCAAACCACAAGAGAGAGTTAGATTACAAAAATACAAGAGCAGGAAGATTAAAAGACTTTTGCACGGTTTGGACGTAATCCACCATTAACTGCACCGAGTTATTCCTCTATGGCTTTGATGAGAATATCTAGAATGCGCTCCACGTATTCCTCGACAGCGTTGTCGTTCGCCGGATTGACGTCGAAGAAAGTGGAATGAAGAATGTGAACGAAACCTTGCTCGTCGTAGGCAAGGCCGAAATCAAGATCGGGATCAGCCATTCATGTGTGGAAAGAGATGTAGGTGGACGGCTTATGATCTTCCTCGACTTTAGAGAGAGCAAACTAAAGAGACTAGAAGATGATTTGAGAAAGAAGATGAGCAAGGGGGGTTCAGCCAAGACTAGGAGGACCAACTGGTGTTATGAGGGTTTATGTTTGAGAGGGAAGAAGTTTAAAATCTGAAGTTAATTTTCAGATTTTACAATTGGAGGGATTTGAGGATTGAAATTTAAATTTAATTCCAAGAAACGGAAAGGGGAATTAATGGAGAGAGAGGGAGAGAGCTAGGATTTGAATTGTTTCCAAGAGAGGAGCATGCTTTTGGAAATAATTCCATAGAAAACCCCTAAGGGGGCCGACGACATGGTGAAAGGTAGGGAGGGTTTAGGGAAAGGTTTTAATGCTTGCTTGATTGGGAAATCCTAAATTAGGTAAGAGAAATTAAATCTCATTTAATCAAAGATTGATTTGGGGATGAGATTTAAAGACTTTCCTAAAATAGATTTCGTATTTTAGGAAAGATTTTGAATTTAAAATCACTTAGATTTGAATTCAAAATTAATCCTAATTATATGCAATATATATTAGGAAATAAGGGAAAGGAGGGGGAAACCCAAAAGTGGGCCGACGGCTTGTGGTGTGGCTGTGAGGGTTTGGTGGGGAAGGAGGGGTGGGTGCGGGTGGAAGTGGGGGTTGGGGTTAACCGACGGTGGGGGGAGTTGTATGGTGGCCGATGGCTTAAGGGGATGAGAGAACTTGTAGGCCGGAGGCTAGTTGAGGGAGGGAGGAGGTGAGAGGAGATAGAGAAGAAAGAACCACGAACCCGGCCATCTCCAAGGTTGGTGGGTGATCCAATTCCCTCTCCTAGGGATTTCTCTCTCAAGCACTCTCAAGATCTCAAAAAGAAATCAAGCAAGGAAAAAAATTTGTCATTCATTCATTAAACCTTAAAAGAGAAACATAAGGGCTATAAATAGCCTCGTACAAAAGGACTCAAAATAAAAAGACGACAATGCCCTTAGGGCTTACATACGACCTTCTTAAGTAAGGGGTAAAAACGGAAAAATAAATACAACATAAATAATAAAAGACAAATACATGAAATGACTCAAAAATATATCGACTCGATCGTGGCCGTAGATCGATAGCCACGCCTCTGATAAACTTTCTACGCTCTGATGTCTCCATCAGTCGATGAGGTTGAATGGCTATAGCAAGATAAAAAAAAGTTGAGGTCTACGGCCTAGTTGAATGGCTAAAGCAAAGGCTATTATGGCATTAAGTAATGCTAAAGATGTAAAGCTCTATTATAAGCACCAAGTAAAATTGAAAGGTTACAAAAATTTACTTGCTTCCTAATATCTGACCTAACTTCAATAATTAATCTTTTCAAAATAATACATGGTTTTTCAAATATTCCATAAACTCAGCATCTATAATCTAATAAAAAATTATTCAAAATTCATCTATGGATTCATTTTCATGTCCAAAATTTCTAAACCCATAATGCAATCTCTTAAGTAATAATGTCCAAAACTGATTACAATGCTTTATTTCATTCAATGTGAAGGTAGGTACTTCAAGATTTTTTAAAACTAACGTTCAAAAGTCTTTGCAAAAAAAAAAAACCAGGATCTAGCAAGTTATATATTTTGCTGTTTATTCATATAAAAGAAATTAAAATAAGCTTCTAGGTTATATAACCAATCAATAAATATGATGACGTGCTCACATCCCCTAAATATAAGAACATAGTGTATATGAATGCAATGATGAATATAATCATATCTTTCATAAAGTATTGTCAAAACAATGCTAATGTGAATCCTACAAATAATATAATTTATGTGTTGATGTACAAAATTAGGTTTGATAATTAAGCAATTACAGATATTAAATCATCTCAATTTTTTATGCATGCTCAATCAATCACCAATAAAAAGAAAAGCATCTAGGTATACTTTAAAGATTAGTAATAAGCATATGATTGGCAAATTGTAGTATAGATAAAATGGAGTTTAAAGCTAAAAAACGTTTTTGAATGTACTTAACCATATCAAGGTAATAAGAATGTAAGTCAAAAATCAAAACTTAAAATACCTAGATATTGTGGAATGCAATCAAATTAAAACTTACATTAGGTACGATTGTTGTGCAATAGAATGAAAGAGTAATTCCACATAAGTCTCTTTACAAGCAATAGAAAATTCAAAATATTAAGTAATATTTAACTCTATCAAAATTCTGCTTCTCACAAAGCAGCCGACCCTACACATGCACGAAAGAAAGATGTGTCCTTACCTTGCTTGGAATAACTCGTCTTACAAGAAACAAACGCAGCCGAAAATGTTGAAGCCGACACGGTCGAAGCATGTGCGCCCGAAGTAGCCAATGTCAAAGCAGGCGCGGACGAAGCAATTGATGTCGAAGCAAGCAAGTCCAAAGCACACAATGTCGAAGCAGGCGAGGTTGAAGCAACCAATGTCGAAGCAGGCGAGGTTGAAGCAACCAATGTCGAAGCACCCAAGAGCGTTAACTTCGTTGCAAGCAGCGGAAGGGGCAAAGTATGAAACAAGTGTTTCGAAACATAAGAAGCCCGCTCGATTCGTGACTCTGCCAAACCATATAAAAAAAAGATCATCGAGGTAGCACCTCGAACCGCCTTAAGGCGTACTCTTTAGCGAAGAAAGGCGTGCGTTTCGTTCAAATCGACAAGGCTTTAGCCTTAACGCGTATTTGTTCCACCTCGAATTGAGGCGTACCTTAAGGCGCATGCCTCAAACATTTTTTAAAATGATGATATATATCAACCAAAACAATTTGGAAAGGAGCTTTGTGATTTATGTGGTTCTTTCTGTTCTGATGTGTTAAGTGTAGGGGCATCTCCTTGATTTGATTGATATTTTGGAAAGGAATTAGCTCCATGCATTCGTGTGTGTGTGTTGAAACTTCAAATCCACAAAAAAAGGGTGTGAATAACTGTTATTTTTCATCTTGCTGTGAGATTTCCATAAAATTTTTAGGGTTCGTCTTTTTCTTCTTGCAACAAGTGTTCTTATTTCATATTAATAAATATTTTTTATAATTTTTTTATATTGTGCACCATGTTTAAAATGATGCGCGTCATGTTGTGCACTATGCGGTATGGTTCAATGAGAATTTTCACCATGATACATCATTGGCCTGTTGACAAGTATGATTATTAATCAAGAATTTTAATATTACATTTATAGGATACTTAGCATTGATATTCATTTAATTTTTATGTTAATTTGCCAAAAAAACAAGATACAAATTTCAAATTAAAATAAAAAATAATATCTCAATTAGTTGTGACAACAACTTGTTCATTTTTGATAGAGAAATTGTCCACGTGCAATGAATGCTTTTCTTTTCGTCTTATTTCAGGCTGATCTTCCTTGGATCTCATTCATCATTTCCTTATTCTACCCGCTTTTCCAACTTTTTGTTTCAGTAACTCCATATCATTTGCTAACTCGAGGAGCATCTATTCACTGCTCCAAAATTTATCTTTTAGTCTTTCTTCTTCTCGCCCATTTCTTTCTTAATTTTTTGTGCTTCTAGTTTCTCCATTAACCCATTTCTTTCTTCACCTTTAAAACCTTACTCTTTCCTGAAACCAGGCGTATGCATGTTCGGTCTGCAGATGATTTTTCCAGATAGCTCCACTTCGGTTTTGTGTACATACATGCTTTATTTTTTATAGAATAGCAATATATCTCTGTATCATAAAAAAATTCAGAGTTTAAGCTGGAGTTCGGCTTATTGTGTTATCTTTTTGCTCTGAGCGCCGAGTTGTTGTTATTTTACATTATTATTGCAATTTTCTGTAGTTGCAAGCACTAATTATAAAGCACTGTTGACGTTTTTGGTCATTAAATTAGATTTTAATGATTCAAGCTGTTATTGTTGTAATTTTTGTGCTGAAGCTGTTTGGGTTATGCTTCCAGTAATATACCCTCACACTTCTGATTTTCATTCTTTTCTTTTGTATAATATTGATCCTTTTAAGCACTGTTTTTTCTATCATATTACAAAGAATATTTCAATGTTTATTAATCTTGCTTTTAATGCTTCATAATCTAAATTAAGGGATAATGAGGATGATGCGTATTACTTTCATATTACTTCTTCCTGCCTTATTTCTTTTTGTAAAAGTGAATTATGTGGCTAAGTTTCAAGGCATTCGTCAATTACTATTACAATTTTCATGACAATTTAGACATTGAGCAGGAGTACGAAGATAAAATGCGCGAAAAAGGAGAGTCTCCTGTTATGTTCAGGTGTGCTGATCTTGAATATTTATTAGTGGTAGAAATGTCACATTTTTTCTTTTATCCTGCTGTGATTTTTATATCTCATAATTTATAACAGCCACTTGGGTCCCCCTCGGAGAAGATCAAATACAGAGGAGGATGAGAGAGCTAAACAACCAAAGCCAGAGGTAAGATGCTTTCATACTCCTCAATGCTGATTTAGTAATTTATCAATTTTTTTCTTAACGTGTTTTATTGCAGGATTCAGTTTATTATCATCCTACTCTAAATCCAACAGGGGCTCCACCTCCTGGAAAGCCACCTATGTATAAATCGTCAATAGGTTAGTATTGCCATTTTCGTTCTCTGGATAAATTTTTTCAGTTCGTGTTTGATATCCTTTTTATCCAGTCTATATTCTGTAGGACCCAGGATTCCTTTGCCAGCTTCCTCGAGTGCAGGACCATCATCTTCGAAGTCAGAGCCTGAAGAAAGCAATTTGTCTGTACCTCCTCCACCTCCTCCACCACCCCTGCCAGACTCTGGGAAACTACCTTCTGGGGATGACTCTGATGTTCCTTCATCTATACCTTTGCCTCCACCACCTCCGCCACCCCCAAAACCTGCAGTTTTAAGTGGATTAATGCCTCCACCACCTCCAGGTCCCCCACCTAAAGGAGCTGCGATAGCTAATGCGGCATTACTGCCACCGCCGCCTCCACAGCCCCTTCGACCTTCTCTGCCACCTCCACCTGGAATAGGTGGAAATGCAAATCCCAATAATGTGTCGTCAGAGGGCATGAATGTGAAAGAGGTAAGTTCTTAATTTCCTTCAATTATTTTATAAACCACTTGGGCCCCAATTTGCTGGATAGAGAGTTGGGTTCTTATTGAAATTTGAAATTTGATTCAGAGACTTTGATAAGGATTGCTATGCACAACTAAAATAAACTTGCTTTTTTGTTAAGATTTGCATTCATGCATCTCATTTTTAGGCAAATGTTGTTTAACAGGATGTTCTATAAACTAGAATTTTGGTGTTACTTTTTTTTTTTAATTTGTTCACATGTTCAGCTAAAAACTATATCAACAATAACAACAACATAAGCCTTTATTCCACTATGTGAGGTTGACTACATGAATACTTTTTCTCAATTGTGTCATGATAAGAGTTAAATTCTCATTTAAATCTAATAAAGAAAAGTCATTTCTAATATTTTCCAACGAAGTCTTTTTAGGTCTAAATCTATCTTTCTTAAAGTCAAATCTAATACATCTACTTTCCTAACCAGTTCATCGGAAGGCCACCGTTTTATGTGACCAAACCATTTAAGACGACTCTTTCTAATCTTATATTCTAGTGGAGCTACTCCAACCTTTTCACGTATATGCTTGTTTCGTATCCTGTCTTTAAGAGTAAAGTCACTCATCCACCTGAGCATCCTCATCTTAGCAACACTTAATTTAATATTATGCTTCTCTTTTAATGGACAACATTTTGCACCATAAAAGCATTGTAGGTCTCACGACTCTCACCACCATCTTATAGTATTTTCCCTTAAGTTTGAGGGGGACTTTTCTATCACACAACAAGCTCGATGCATTCCTCCATTTCAACCATCCAACTTGAATTCTACTAATAATATTCCCATCTATTTCACCATCACTCTGAATAATAAACCCAAGATATCTAAAGCGTGTACTCTTATTAATGACTTGATCATCCAAAGTCACAATCATCCCACTAGGTTTATTTATATATTCAGTTTTAGATATACTCAAACGAAAGCCTTTAGAATCTAAGGTTGACCTCCATAATTCAAGTTTACCTTCAACTCCATCTCTAGTCTTCTCAACAAGAAGAATATCATCAACAAAAAGCATACACCAGGGTACAACCTCTTGCAAATGTCTAGTGAGGACATCCATGACTAAAGCAAAAAAGATTTGAGCTTTAGGCTAATTTTTGATGTAATGAAACTGAAATAAGAAAATACTTAGTCAAATCACCTTGTGTTTGAACACAAGTAACAACTGATGCATACATATCTTTAATGACTTGAATATAAGGATTATTAGTCCATTTTTTTTCTAAAACTCTCCAGAGCACTTCTCTTGGAATTGTCATATGTTTTCTCTAAATCAATAAATATCATATGTAGTTCATTCTTATTCTATCTATATTTCTCCATCAAATCTATCAATAAATGTATAGCTTTCATAGTAGACCTATCCGACATGAATCCAAATTAATTTTGAGAAACATTAGTATCATGCAGCAATCCTTGTTTCATAACTCTCTCTTATAGTTTTAAAGTATGCACATTAACTTAATTCCTCTATAATTCTTACAATCTTGTGCATCATTTGTATTCTTAAAAATATGAATCAACACACTCATTCTCCACTCATCAGACATCTTTTTAGTCTTCAAAATAATATTAAAAAGTTTAGTAAACAAAAAAATTACTTTTATCTCCTAAACATTTCCACACATCTATTGGAATATCATTATGTCCAATAGGTTTTCCACACGTCATTTTCTTTAAAACCTTTCTAACTTTGGTTTTATTAATACGCCGATAAAAATAAATTTTTTTATTTTCATTTTGGATGCTAAGGTCGTTAAAGTCAATCAATCACATTCTTATAATCTTTATTGAAAAGTTTAGAAAATTTTGTCATTCACTTTAGTTGAATATCCTCTTCTAATAAAATCACTTTTTGATCTTCATCCTTAATATATTTCACTTGAACCTAAATCCTTGCTATTATTTTTTTTGGCTAACTTATACATATATTTTTTGCCCTCCTTAATATCTAATCTATTATATAAATCATTAAAAGTTAAAATCTTTGTATTGTATATTGCTTTCTTAGACTCTTTATGAGCCTTTTTATATTTTTTCAATTATCAAAATTTTTATATATGAACTAATTTTTATAACAAATTATCTTATTTTTATCTTTTCTTGCACATTTTGATTCAACAACCAACTATTTTACTATTAAGAGCCTTTATATTTGAAACTTCAAGCACATCTTTTACAATATTCTTAATATCATTAGCTATTTTTCTCACATAACATTAGTTTTCTCATGCATAGACAAAATCTTTAACATCTAGTATCTTACTCTAAAAAATATTTAATATAAAAGCCTCATCAAATCCTAGAACAATGTTTTATTTTATTTTTTTTTATTTTTGGCCTCTTCATCTTAAAATCCAATACTAATAAGCGATGTCAGGTATATAAACTTTCACTCGGAATAATGTTATAATGTTTGCAATATAAATGATTTATTTTTCTTATAAAAAAATAATCAATCTGATTTTTACTCTATCCATTCTTATAAGTGATGATATGCTCATCTTTTTTCTTATATAAGGTATTAGCAATTACAAAATCTTAAGCTAAAAAAAAAAATCTACTATGGTCTTGTAACCTTCATTAATCGCTTCAAACTTATAGCCATCATGAATGCTTTTAAAATCATCTCTCTTTAGCAATATGTACATTTAAATCTCATCCAATAAAAATTTTAATTCTTCTAAGTCATTCGAAAATTTTAATTTTGAACACATATTCAAACTTACTTGAGGAGCATAATACTTATAATATTAATAATCTTAACATCAATAATAATTTTTGAACCTATAATTCTATTAATTTTTCAACATTATTCTTTAAATTTTTATCTACAATCACACTTATATCATTTATAGTACGACTCTTAATAGAATACTATAGTTTAATCCTAAACTATCAATCTCCTTAGCCTTTTATCCAACCCATTTAGTTTCTTGAATGCATCAAATATTTATCTTCGTATGAATCATAATATCTATTAATTTTATTAATTTTTCTATAAATTTTTTTTATTCCAAGTTCCTATCTTAATTTTAGTTTCATGGACTAGCTTCTTTGCTCACATCCGTCCATGATGTTGAAACCATTGTCTATTTAACAATGCACTCAGGCGCCGATTCAGCGCCCTTGTACACGTGTTGATGTATTCATGCCATACAGTGCATCGCTTTCAGAGAATGCCCTAACATTAACACAATGTGTTAAATGATTCAGATCATGATTATTCGACAAGTTTTACACTGGCTATCAACTATCTAACACAACCTTCTACTTTTTTTATCTAGGACTTGAGACATGACAACGATAGTGTTATGAAATATTTTTAGCAGCACTGCAAATTTATTTTTAAATAATCAAAGCTTAAGCTATTTGAGAAGTATTGAAAACATTAGAAATTATTTTTTTAGATTTAAATGAGAATTTGACTCTTAATAAGACAATGGAGAACGGATTTGACACCTCACATTGTAGGATAAAAGGCTTGATAATGTTGTTATTGTTATAAACTCTTTGAGAACATGGTGGAAGCCTTGAAATTCGGTTAAAATTTCTATCTACAACAACAACAACAACAACAATCAGAATTTTTAAAATTAAACCAATTTTTATAACAAAGCTTCTTATTTTTAATTTTTTCTTGCACATTAAAATTTCTATCTACAGTAGTCATAATTTTTGTTGAAGTCATATGAAACGCAGAGGAAGCTAACAACTGCAGGATCTTTCTTTTGCAGGTGAAAGCTGTGCTTCCTCCACCTCCACCGCCACCTGGTTTGCCACCAAAGCTACACTCTGATGCTTCTCCATCTGCTAATGCAGGCAATTCTTTTGCTAAAAATGAAAACCCTAAGATAATCCCATTGATTCCACCACCTCCACCTCCTTTACCCCAAGGAATTCCCTATCCAAATATGCAAACTGATATGATGCCCCCAGGCATGTCAAGGTTCCCTCCACCTCCACCACCACCACCTCCACTGGATATGAGGCCACCACTTCCCATCCCTGGACTTCCTAATAGACCTCCTCCACCTCCTCCTGGTATGGCTGCGCCACCATTCCCAAGGCCACCTTTTTCTGCACCTCCTGGGCCACCTCCAATGCTGAGACCTCCAATGCCTACAGGTCCTCCTCCCAACCAAGATGATGATCTTGCTGCTTTAATGCCCTCTGCTCCTCAAAAACCATCTTATGTAAAGTCAGCAGCATCCACAGTTGTAAAAAGACCACTAGCGCAGCATACCCCTGAACTTACAGCTATGGTATGGTTTTGATTTTTCTCTACCATCTTAAAATTTCGGATATGTTGATTGTTTTTATCATTTATTATCTTCATCACCAAAACAGATATTGTGCTTTGATTTATCTATTTGAAGCATGAAATATAAATATCTAGAATTTTCTGTTGAATTGTAGATCCCAGCCTCTGTACGTGTGAGGAGAGAAAGTGTGCTTCCAAAAACAAAGCCCAAGCCACTTCTCTCGGCAGCCCCTTCGCCTTCTCGGCCAGCTCTCACCACTTCAATTACCAAGCCAGAGACATCAACTGCTGCTTCAGCACCAAAGATGCAGAGCATTGATGACTCATACGTAGCTTTCTTGGAAGACATGAAAGCACTTGGTGCTCTTGATGATTGAGAAGATAGCAAAACACCTAGTAATGATCATCATCAATTGATAATTGGTGGGTATTTTACTGTTTTTTGTATGGGTTAAGTTCAAGTTTCTTGACTATATTCAGACCTCCAGTTGCTTATTCAGCTGGATTGGCTTCCCTGTCTTCACAAACAGTGACTCTATCTCTCCCTACCTTGTAGAATAGTTCATGGTAAAACAGAAATTGATTTTACCAATTAATATTCAAATTTCATTATTACTGCTTGTATAGCCTTGAAGCTTTTGTAATTTTTTTTGGGGCATATTAGGGGATTCGAACATGGATCAGCGGGAGGAATTTCTTCTCTCAACCAACGAGCCGCATGAGCGATCCCGTCTGTAAATTTGAATAGAAAGTAGAACTGCTTTTAAATTCCTGCACATGAGTAATGATTTTTCCCCCTTCTACCAAGCAAGCAGGTTATTTTCCATGGAGAAAGATGACCAACCTTTGCATTTGTTGAAAACTTAAAATTGTTATTACTGTAAGCATAGATACTTTATCTGTCTAATGTTGTGAAGCAATATTTGATGAGTTTATCACCTGGGCAATTTTTAATATATTGGATATAGTTTCTGGCTTGTTTGATGCTTCAGCCTAAAGATGATAGGCTTAAGCCTTAAGGAGGGCAAATTATTAGGTCCGGTCACCGGACCTAAAAATAGGTCCGGACATCTAATTAAAATTTGCCACGTCGCCTGCGCTTTGACTGCACTTTAATTGCGCTTTAGGTGCGCTTTAACTGCGTTTTTTTTACTGCATTTTACCTGCACTTTTGACGCGCTTAATTTAAAATAATATTTTATTAGTTTCCGGATGAATGTCTACGTCCTGTGACCGGACCTAATAATTTGCCCTTGAGGACTATGACGTTTAATTGGCGAAAAATAATCTATTATAACAATTCAGAAATATTTTTAATTACATTTTAGCTTAAAATTATTTTCTCATTCATCAAAGTTTTTCTATTGCATAACTATGATTTAATTTATTATTAAAAGAATTTTATTATACTGAAAGAAATAAGCATGATTTAACCTAGTTTATGATATGCTTAGGCTTGATTATGTTATAAAGATAATTTTAATTATGGCTATATAAATGATGATTAAACTTTTGAATGAATTTTAGACTAATAATAATTTAATTTAATTTGATCATTTTGAGAGTGAAGCTTTAATGCTTAAACTTATATGTTTTTTCCCTTGAGCTTTAAGTTCAGATAAGCAGACCTAAATTTTTTGTTTGCTTGAGCTTAAGAGTTTAAAGTTGGCTTACCTTTAATTTCAGCCCTTAATGACATCAGAATTGATCAAAGATAGCTAATCCAATATATGATTGTTAAGCATTTACTTTAATAAGCAATCTGAAATTGGACCTAAATATTCTTAATTCATAGAAGCTTTAATAAATAGCAAGATTATGATCAATCCCTTTCTTTTTATTTGATGTTTTACTGCAGAAAAAAAAAAGGTTAAGCAAGCAAAGCAATAAACTCACTTAGGCTTTATTTGGGACAATTTTTTTTACTAATTATTCAAGTAGCTTTTTAGTTCAAAATTTTAAAATTTTATACTAGAAAGTTGCTTTAAGAAATCATAAAGAAACCGTCCCAAACGAAGCCTTAAATTGAAGTATGATGGTGAACTGTAACTGCAACAATTCTCAATAATATTAATATAATTCTATCCAGTAGAGTCAAGAGTAACACATTAGATCTCATGTCTGCTGATCAATACACCAAATCATAGGAATTGGAAAGAAGGCATGCAAATCAAACCATCTTAATAAAGGCTATTGAGACTGATCCAAATCAATAACATACTTGCTTGAGAGGACTGTCTGAGGTTAAGAAATGAAGAGATTTGACTGCATAAACTCAAATTGCCAATTGAGATTTTGGGATGATTATGTTACTCTCTGGAAAGTACCACCAACCTGCATATGAAGCCATTCTGTTGTAGATCCTTGCTCACGCTCATATTCTCTTGTTGGCTGAGAGGGAAATCCTGAACTGGACGGAGTATGGTATGTCTGAGCTCCAAACTGAAAATAAGAAAAGTTTGCAGTTGTATTATTCTATTGTTCTATAAAAATTCTTACTAATTCTTACAGTGGCTACAATAAAAATTTCAGCCAATGCATGGGTTACAATGGTTTTATCCCATGTTTATAGAGAGACTCTTTGTGAATTGAACGCGTTACCAACGCCTCTGAATGGAGAAATTATTCTGTGCGGAGACCAGATGCAGAACGCCGTCTAGAGAACAACCATAATGCTCCACGTCAACGGTACCGAGCCGCAGTACTGAGCACAGGGATGACGTGGCGCATTTTGGTTGGCCTCCGAATGGCATTCACACAGAATAATTTTTCCTCTTGAAGACGAACTAACTGCTGCTCTATAAAAAAGGAATAAGTAGGTATCACATTTTATCTATATCTGAATCATAATTTATTCCATCGGGATGTTTATCCTAATTTTAAAAAACTTATAACATGGTAAATTATTTAAAGCTGCTTGATTGTTTTCTGAAAGAATAAAGCCTCCATAATTTAGTATAGCATTCATACATTAGTACATGATTCATAGAGTCGAACAACATGAGAAATCACATATCCATAACAGATGGGTGTTGACTTGTTGGACATTTATATAAGATATTGGACATTTATATAAGATATTATTTGTATGAATTCAATAAAATTTTATATTAATACATAATTATTCTATCATTTAAGTTTTATTTAAATAATTTTCATATTTATTATGTCATATGGTTCCACTACAGTCGAACCATTAATTCTTGAACCTCATCTTCTTCCGATTCTATATTCGGTCCGGTTTCACAACCTTGCTACCCACAACATTATTTTCCATGTACACAACCATCATATGATTCATAACTTGAAAACAACATCCTATTTGGCACATGACATGAACAAGCTTGAGTTAAATATTCTAGTGCCCATCATCACCTCATAACACCCTGTGTCCACCCGTTTCACTCCAAATTGGTCTACTACGATATGATTGGATATGAAATTGTGGGTAGCCCCACTATATATCAACACCACTACCTCCTTGTATGCTATTTCTTCTTTCACTTTCGTAGTGTGATTCGGAGTGAACCCTACCATTGAGTTCAAGGGGACCTCTGCCATATCTAAATGCAGCTTTTCTTCCTCCACCACCGATGCCTCACTCCCACCTCCCCCCTCAGCTTCCTCACACCAAAGACGGTGAAAACTGGAAGAGTTTGGTCCTTACACCCGTGCCCCAGTGTATAATTCTCACATCTAAAACATAACCCTTTTGCCTGCCTATTTAGCACATTCTCTTTTGTAAGGTGCTTGAAGTTGCCTCCAGGACGAACTCCGGTGCCATTCTCCTTCGATGCTTACTCTGAAACGACATTGTCTGGGTTCTCAGTGCCAGGGTCGTAGAGGTACTCCTATAAGCCCTTCCCATGGCGTTGCTCCCGCTGGCCTTCTCCCTCCGATATTTTTCCTCCACCCTCTGAGCAAGCTCCATCATCTCTCTCAGTCCTCTAAGTCTCAACACCCTGAGCTCTGTATGCCCTCCCTAAGCCCCTTCATGAAATTCCCTTCCAACCTTTACTCGAAAATTCCTCTCAGTCTTCTTGATAGCAGCTCAAAATTCTCCTGATACTCCATGACTATCCCCTCTTGAGTTAAGGTATAGAACTGTTCGTGGAGGTCTCCTTCTCGAATAGCTTGGAAATGTTACAACAAACACTCCATAAATTCCCCCCAATGAGTAGATTGGATATCGAGCCTCCCTCAACTGGAACCAAGCTAGGGCTTTTCCCTCCAAACATAGGCCCGCCGCCATGAGTTTTCCCCTTCCATCAGCTCATTGATGATAGCCAAGTAATGCTCCACCCGGTATATCCAACCATAAGCATCTTCCCCTTCAAAGACCAGCAGCTTTAGCTTCCTTGATCTCGCATGTATACCCCAATGATTTCTCCCTCAACATCCTATTTGGCACATGACATGAACAAGCTTGAGTTAAATATTCCAGTGCCCATCATCACCTCATAGCACCCTGTGTCCACCCATTTCACCCCCAATTGGTCTACTACTACGATATGATTGGATATGAAATTGTGGGTAGCCCTACTGTTTATCAACACCACTACCTCCCTATATGATATTTCTTCTCTCACTTTTATAGTGTGATTCGGAGTGAACCCCACCATTGAGTTCAAGGGGACCTCTGCCATGTCTAAACCCAGCTTTTCTTCCTCCACCACCGATGCCTCACTCCCACCTCCCCCTCAACTTTCTCGTCACCACATACGGTGAAAACCGGAAGAGTTTGGTCCTTACACACGTGCCCCGGTGTATAATTCTCACATATAAAACATAACCCTTTTGCCTGCCTATTTTGCACATTCGCTTTTGTAAGGCACTTGAAGTTCCTCCAGGACGAACTCCAGTGCCATTCTCCTTCGATGCTTCACTCTGAAACGACGTTGTCTGGGTTCTCAGTGCCAGGGTCATAGAGGTACTCCTATAAGCCCCTCCCATAGCATTGCTCCCGCTGGCCTTCTCCCTCCGATATTTTTCCTCCACCCTCTGAACAAGCTCCATCATCTCTCTCAGTCCTCTATAAGTCTCAACACCCTGAGCTCTGCTCGTATGTCCTCCCTAAGCCCCTTCATGAAATTCCCTTCCAACCTTTACTCAAAAATTCCTCTCAGTCTTCCTGATATCAGCTCAAAATTCTCCTAATACTCCATGACTATTCCCTCTTGAGTTAAGGCATAGAACTGTTCGTGGAGGTCTCCTTCTCGAATAGCTTGGAAATGTTACAACAAACACTCCATAAGTTCCCCCCTATGAGTAGATTGGATATCAAGCCTCCCTCAACTGAAACCAAGCTAGGGCTTTTCCCTCCAAACATAGGCCCGCCGCCATGAGTTTTCCCCTTCCATCAGCTCATTGATGATAGCCAAGTAATGCTCCACCCAGTATATCCAACCATAAGCATCTTCCCCTTCAAAGACCAGCAGCTTTAGCTTCCTTGATCTCACATCTATACCCCAATGATTTCTCCCTCCATTAGTTCCTCCCATGTAGTGGTGGTGCGATTCCCTCCCTTTCTCCCTTGGTTGATTTGGACCCCATGGCTCCCCCTAACCATGAACTCCTCTATTCCACCTTTCCTCATGCCTGAGTAGTTTCCCAAAGAGTTTAATTTCCCTCCTTGCTATCCTTCCTTCGGAATACACCGATTCGCTCACCCTCGGAGCCCTATTCGGAGCCCCCCATAGTGCTCCTTGAGGGTACACACATTCCAATTCATCATCGTCCTCCTGAATTTCCTTTTCCCTTGATTTAGACCTAAGTTACGTTGGTAAAGCTTTCGACTATATCTTAAGCATCTTTTTCATCATATCTTCAAAATTTTCAAAGCGGTTCTCGATGGCTGAGAGTCTTCCCTCTACCCGAAATATTTTTCCTCTACTCCAGCATTGAGTTGTTCTATTTAGCCTTTCAAAGCATCCGTCATCTTGGCTGCCATTAATTTCAATCTAGGTTCCAACAGCAAAAATCAACGAAGACGACTTATTTTTCCTCCCAAGAAGGTGCTCTAATACTAATTTGATATGCCTTGGAGACAAAAATATCAAACAACATCTAGAAATAATGCAGAAAAACTAAAACGATGGCTGATTTTTATAGACTGCAATAAGAAGAACCAGATACATGTAATCTATAATTTGAGAGGTAGATCGCTCTCAAAACAATCTAGACGCCCGCTAGGAAGCCCTCACGAAAAAGAAACTACAGTAGCTGTCAATTCAAAACATAAATAATCCCCCCTAACAAACCCTAAAATCAGCCCAAAATAAGCTCTCCCAATTTCCCCCCAAAACAATCTTCTTCCCTTACTAATCTCCCTCTCCTATTTGAATTCAAACCCCCACATTAATTCCTTCAGTAATCTTTCTCCTTCCATATGGAATTATTGCTTTGTTGGGCCCTACAGAGGGAGACAAATTTTCCTCTCCCGCGCCTCCTATGCATGCAGCTCCTACGTTCCCTGCGCATGCGGCTCCTGCTCCCACCTGATGAGTCGAGTTGGCTTTGTTTTGGGCCGGCTGAGCCGATCTCTCCTGGACCGGTCTAATAGAATGCTTCATAAGTGCTTTTGCAAGCCCGTGTTAAACCAAATGACCACACACCTTAGTTCACCAAAGACAAAACTCCTAAACCCATAAAACATTTCAATATCAAACATGGTCATCCATATTTGAATGTCTTTGATACAAGTTTTTATAATGACAAAGCCAATTCGATGTGGAAGAATCATTGGAAACAAAGTATGATGCAACCATAAAGTAAAACAAAAAAGAGACCACACAATACAGAGAAAGAAAGCACCAAAATTTGTGGATCGACATCAACCAAGCCTACGCTTGCAAGAAATGAGAAAGGATCTAACCCACTATCAAATAAGCCATAAATTGGTATATAAAATGACACTCAGTAGCCTTTCTGAAAGTCCAAGCACAATCATACTCAACAAAAATAATCCAAAAAATCTCCCAAAAATAGAGATTAACTCACAAACATGTTTTTTTTTTGTAGTTGTTGAGCCTAAAGATACCCAATATTTGTGGTTATTTCATTATGGTAATTTTGAAAACTTAGTTGTATTTGTCTGCCCTAGAATTTTTCTTCATAATGCAAGCGTGAATCACAATGTAGGTGTAAAATCCAATGCTAACAGTCCAATCTCTATTAATCAAATATGAATATTTTTGGTATTCAAGATCTTGTGCAATGGGTATTGACCCAATCATCAAATAATCGAGTCAAATTAACAAATTACCTGCACTAAAATATAATATCCAAGATTAAGCATCACAAACCCAACTTTCTACTTAGTGAAGTTGTTCAATTGCCTACACACAAAAACAAAGATATGACAAGATCAATATTTTAAATGCATTGATGATTGGATTAGCATCACTTTTACAAGATCAATATTTCATTTGACAAATCTTGGAAGTGTCCACTGAAAATAAACGAGTAGCATTTAAGTTTTTAAAGGGGTTATTTATAATGCAATAACCATCCTGCTTGGAAAGCGCTAGACTTACATCTTTAGAAGGGAAGCCCTCCATGCCAGCATTAATCCGAGAATTAACAGCTTCAAGCTTCATTGATAGGAGCTGCATATCAAGAATAAGCATAACCGCATTACAAACACATTAATACAACAGAAAAAGAAAATTGGCATTTCCAATGAAAGAAAGATATATACCTCAACCTGGCGCTGCAGTGCCTGGATGTAGTTTATGATCTCATCCAGGACCGCTGCCTTCCCAATCACCTGCTCAAAAGAGTAAACTAAAAAAAATATCTATTTCAAGGAAATAAATAGCAACATCTATTATTTTGATCTCGCAAGAATATTTTTGAACAGAATCACCAATAAGGTTAATTGATGCACCTTGTTACACCCAGGAACTAAATCTTGCAGAATCTTCATTCGCTCACTTATCTTCTCCCTCCTAGCCTGTTAACGAATATACAATGTCCAATAAGTTGGCTGTGAAAACTGAAAACACATACAATACAAAGTCAACTTTAATGATCATGTCAGCATCAAGTTCTTATCAATTTAGAAAGTGTTTAGCGCCAATGCCAAAATGTTGAAGGAAAATGAAAATAACCATCTTCAAAAGGCAATCTTTCCAATTGCATACTATTTGGCAATAATGAAATTAGATCTCAACAAGCCTTACCCTCTCGGCCAAGCTGTGGCTATCAGTTGCTTGACCCCTTCTAGCTCTCACATGAATGTAATCCTGCTTAGGTGGCTCAAGGGTTTGATCTGGTTTCTTGCCAGTAGAACTTGCTTCCACATCAGCTTTCCATTCACCATTTTCACCTCTAGATTTCCCCTCTTTCAGATGCAGTGCTTCACTGTCATCCTAGTCAACACCAAGTCAATGAAAACTATGATCATCATTGTATGACACTAACATTGAAACGGTATGCAAAAAGAAAAAATTTTAACCAAAAAAACCGCTTATAAAATATTATGTCATAAAGAAAATTGAAAGAAATTATCGTAGGTTACAATGTTTAGGTATAAAATATTGATAGGTAGAATCCGACTTTGAAAGAAAGGAATGACTACTTGGATGATGACTTGATGAGCAAACCCAGATTGGATTAGACTGGGTAAACAGTTAGCCAGTGATGCATGTAGGACTGATTATTTTTGATATGATAAACGTGAATAAGACATTTCAACAATTACGTCAGGTAAATGAGTCTGGTAGCCAGTTCTGTTGGGTTATGAGCCACCATAGATAGTTTCCTTGTGCAAATAATTTTTTTCTCATTGTTGATATTTGATACAATAAAATTCTGTTAAAATTTTCTGACAAACTCCCAAAAAGAGGATATTCAAATAATGCAAATGATAGTAGAACCTATTAAGGCCGGCTCCAAAAATATTAAAAGAAATGTAGCTTGTTGGCCTTTTATAAAGAACTATTAGAATAAAAATCACGATCATGTGTGTCAAAGTACATAAGAAAAGGTTCATAAGAGATATGCTTGTTGTGCAATAAACATAGCGAAAACAAAATCACACAACAAAACAGCACAAAGAACACGATGATTTACGTGATTTGGCGAAGATGCCTATGCCCACAGGGAGGTGATGATAATTTCACTATATTGGAGAAAAATAGGGATTACAATTGCTCTCAAACTCTCTCTCTTCTCATACATACAATAGTAGCCAATAGGCTCTGTTTATAGATTTGAAACAAGATCTAATAAAGAAAATATAATTAATGCAAATATTTAAATCATGCCAATTAGATCTCATAATCACTGTACTAATTAAATCTCCTAATTAAAGCCAATCAAATCTTTCCTAACTAATGCATCAATCAAATTTCCAATTAAATCAACTAATTAGAGATATAATCAACTCCTTAATCAATTACATAAATTTGACATCAAAGCTTTTCAAAATAAAGCTTTAATTAGATTTATAAATAATTTCAAATTAATAATCTCCACCTTATCTTTCACTTTTCACAAAGTAAAGATGACAAATCATGCTTCAATATCAGCATAACTGCACCTAGATGGTTGCCTACAATCAATCACGAGTCCCGCATCACTGCCATGGTGAATGCATCTCCAAGCCTGCATCAATTGTACCTTTCAAATACCTCAATATACTCTTTACAACTTGCCAATGACTCCTTATTGTATCATGTATGAACTTGCTTACAATACCAACTGCTTGTGCAATGTTGGATCGAGCTACTCCAATATCAGACTATATTGTGCTACAAGTGTTAAGTGACCACGGGTCGAGGGATTCTTAACCACTGGGAGAACATCTCATCATAAGCAATCCCTTCCCGTTGCACAGAGCCTTTTGCCACCAATCTAGTCTTGTATTGCTCATTAGATTTAAGAGATCCTTCTTAGCACGCATCCATTTGCACCCAATGACTTTTCTTGATGAAGGAAGCTTCTGTAACCTCCAAGTAGCATCCTTCTTAAGAGACTATCTCTTCATCTGATGCAACCAAAATTTAAAGAAGCTAAGGTTGCAAAAGGTAAACGTCTTCCTTTCCAAATAAAAAAAGATTAACACACTAAATAAGACACAAAACCCTACAATAACAAATAAAAAAGAAGGACAACATGAAACACATGCAATGTCACCATACAACTTGTAATAGAAAAGATTAAAACACCTTACAATGACACAACACAACTTACTATATTTTTTTAGAGAAGAAATATACAATGGAATGGTCACTTGCGGAGAGAAGAAATAGATTAGAAGCCTGAGACGAAGTTATAGAGAGTAGAAGAGAAAGGGGAACATAGCTCGCAAGCAATCAAAGAAGATCCTTCAGATTTTCTTTCCAAAAATCAGTCCGTAACCTTCGTCTAAATGCCACAAAACAGCCCTAATATATGGGTAAAGAAAGGGAACCAAACAGCCAAACAACCGTCTGCTCAAACTAATAAGAAAGAGGGAGTTAAAAGACAAAACAACATCCGTCTGAAGCAGCACACGAAGGGGCACGCGGAACAACCAACGAATGGAATAGGCGCAAAGGGGATGAATCGGGATAGGCAGAGGAACCGAACAGCAAAGCGGGCAGGGAAACCGGGAAGCAGGGAGTAGGAACCGAACAACCCAAAGCAAGAAGCCGGGAAATCCATGCAGGAACCAAACAGCAAACAACCGGGATGGCCTTGCTTGCATCATCATCCCGCCTTCTTCCAAAGATCATCATTAGGACTATTCACCGCTTCATCATAGTGACTATGAGCTTTAGCCTCCGTGGCTGAAAATGCAAATACAATGTCATACCTCAACCAAGCTGGTTTTGGGACATTCTGGCGCTTGAATATGTTCTTCGCAATAGTTATAAATAGTTTTGAGCGTAGTTCTTCTTACAATTTATGCTTTTACAATTCAAAATATGATAAAAATTAAATTTACATATAAATAAAGCATTTTAAACTACAAATCTACAAAAATATAGTTAGAGTAGTTATTCGAAATTGTTTGGAACACATTCGCTTCTTCAATTTTTTTAATTTGTACATCAAGGAGCCAAAGAGCTTCAATGCAGTCTCTGAATATTCAAATGCATCTATTGACTCTAAGAATTTCTGATAATGAATACACAAAAAATTATTATTGATGTACAAATTAAAAAATTATTATTTGTTGGTGTTCCTCCACATCCCTCATGGTAACTCAAATTCTCTTAAGTCAAGAGACTCTCAACTCATGATAAGACGAGAGTCTAAGATCCATTCCATAGTGTGCAGTAGCCTCCACCATGGAATAAATCTATCAAGTCACTATGTATTGTATGATTATATGCCTTCTTTCCTACTTTACATTGAAAGAAGGGAGAAAGTCATGGGTGAAGAATAGGAAAAAGAAGTTTGAATGCTGCTAATCGAATGAACTCGCTCACTTTGTATAATACTTATTAAACCAATAACATTGAAACCAGACCAAAATATAGCCCAATCAAAAGCACCAACATGTTGCTTGAGCACTTTGCTTCTCACAAGCACTTCAGAGCCAACAATGTTAAGCAGGTGGTTCGGCAACTCAAAACGTGTGAGAAGGATGCGGAGCAAAGGTACCTTGCATCACAACGCATTATTACTTCAGTGGGCTTCAAAATGCACTTTTAACAATAATGCATTGTATTGTCTCCTCCAAAATTTGGGAAAAGATAGCCCTTTGTAATTCATACTAACTACCAAAGAAAGTTGCTTCAACTGGACAAAGCCAAATGGTTTTTCATTTTTGAGTTCTACAGCTAAAAAATATTATCCCTTCCTCAATATATTTACTTCTCTGATCGTTGTTTGTAGTTAAAGCAATTAAATTCTCTCTCCATTAACATGAGTTCTGGCTTGTAATTGATTTACTCAACAAATTTATTAATATTCTTATGACTATGAAGTATGCAATTTAACTAGTTTTTTGGAAAAAAACAAAACTTAAGTAGCCAAATTATAATTTCAAATGTTTATCACATGTTTGATTTATATATGAAAAAGTTAACGGAACATTAAAACACCGTAAGGCTTTTTTTGAATTTGGGGGAAGGGGGGGGGATCAAGAGGATAAGCCATCTATTTCTCTACCAAGTGGAAACCGCTATTGAGAATAAAACGCAAACTGTATTTTTCCTATTTTTCTAAACGAGAAAACAAGAAAATGCCAACATGACCTAGGTAATTTCCCAAAAATAAAATGGTAAACATCTTTTAGCTAATTGCAGAAGAATATTCTTTTTTTTTTTGGACTCACAAAAACTCGACTGCGAGGTCATCGTTCATCCTGTAGCTAGCCAGAATTTATAGGCAAGCCATGAACTTTCGGTCCTCTTCCCACACAATAAAAAAGAGAATACTGTTCCCCACCCAAAATAAATAAATAAAAAAACAAAAAAACAAAACTATTCAACAAGATACATCACATCCGTAACAATAATGTTTGTCAAATCCTAACCTCTTAGACAGAACAGGGTGCACTGTACTATGGTAAAAGTCAGGTTGCATTTACTCCTACAACGAACCACTTGGTCACACCTCACAGAATTTTACAAATCTTTTTAGAGAATTCGAACCCTTAAAATCTCTGTAAACACGGAATTAAGTAATTAACTTCATTTTCTATAAAGTAAAAGGTTGTTAAACAGAAAAATAAATTAAAAAAAACTAAAATATCTGTCGCATTCGGCACACATCCAGCATCTCAACAACCCCAAAAAAATATAATAACACAAAAGACTCCTCTGATTACAGAACCATCATCGAAAATTTCTTCACAGATATAATCCCCCCATACCACAAATTCCTATGAAAGAAATTCAAACAAACAGCTTAGATTTAAAAAATCAGTAACCACAGTTTTAACGAAACAAATACCAAGTCATTGCCGCCGCTGCTGTTCGACAAGAACTTGGACGATTCATCTTCCGACGCCGCCGCCGAAGACAGCCCTGAATCCCGGCGCTTCTTCTTACTCCAGAGGTCCCCACTCTGCTCCGTCACCGTCGATTCGCCGGCTGATACGTCACGATGTCCCATCCCTAATGCTGTTTCTCTTATCCCCCGTGCCATAGGGAAATGCCAAATCTCCGGTAGCGCACTGTGCGAGATCAGCGACGATGGATCCATCCGGATAAATCCGGAAGCACCGACCCGATTCCCACTTCACATCAGTTCCCGAATCCTCATTGCTTCGCTAAGCTGCTCAGATCTCGGTTGGAATCGCTGGTGGAATGTGAGCACTCGAGCTTGAAGAGAGAGACAGTGAGAGAGTAAGAAGAAAGAAGGGGGAACAGTCGTTCGGGATCTTTCGCTTTCTCGCTGGTAATAAATGGGGCACTAAGGTAGACTTGCTTAACGTCGGGATTGATGGATCACCGTCCATCAACCATTTATCAAAGCTTGATTAAAATGGACGGCGGATCCATGTTCTCTGTATATTTATTAAAATGGGAGGAAGGGTTAATTGTTTGTATATTTATTTTTATTATTATTATTTTTAAAATATTTTATTGTCCGATTCGAGACAGGATAATAATTTGGTTCAATAAAGAGAACAATCAATAATCAAGTCGGAATTATTAGTTCTTCCAGATGTCCCAATAATTCTTTGGGCGGGGGTATAATTGTAATTAATTAGTATTGTTTTATTTTACAATATGTTGTAATTAATTTTAATTTTTAAGGGCTATTTGATTGGCTTAAAATGGATAGAATTTACAACAATCTTTTTGGACTTTTTTGTATTAGTGTAAAATAAAATGAATGCAATGTAAAATACCAGAAAGATGATGGTCGGTGGTTGAAACTAGTGGTGATTGTTAGCAACAATGGTAGCCAGAGTGCTGCGATGAGTGATGGCTAGCGGACGATTTGTCGGCGTCGATAGTGGGTGATAGCTAAGGTAGCAGGTAGGTAGGGGGTGACAGTAGTGGCCAACGAGAGAGGTGAATGTGGTCATAGGCAGGTGGCTGCGGTGGTGGCCTGTGGGGTATAGCCGACAACAAGCGGTGGGTGGCGATGAGTGAAGGTGGCTAGCAGACGGGTGACAAGTGACAACAATGGCCGCTTAAGAAGCAGTAAAAAAGTCGTCCCAAACGAAACCTTAGTCTCCTTGTTGGGAGTTTTGACTAGCAATTAATTAGAGGTCTTGATTTGAAGCCTTGTGTATGTGATGAGAGTATGAGTTTGACCTAATTGATATAGATGTCTAAAAAAAAACCTATTCGGTAACTCTTGTGTGACCTACTTAATTTTTTTTTTAAATTTTGGGGTTATTTTTATTTAATTTCAACCGAGCACAAAAAAATTAATCTCAAGAGTTTCAAATATACAAAAATTTAATTACAATAATGACTTATAAATTCTAAATTCTTATTAATAAAAATAGGTGTAAATACAAAAATATTATAATAAAATTAATATTATAAAGTTGTAAAATGAAAGTAGGTAAGTTGAGAGCAATGAATTGTTCTAGTTGTTTCTATTAGAATTCATGATACACTATTGAACAGTATTGAACATTGTAGAATCTAGAATAGCAAAATCTTAGACTTCATTTAGGACGGCTTTCTTATTACTTATTAAGGTAATTTTTTAGTAAAAAATTAAAGTTTTTACACTAAAAAAGTGTTTCAAGAAACAGTAAGAAAGTCATTCCAAATGTAACCTCATGCTTCGTTTGGGATGCTTTTTTTACTATTTCTTAAAGCAATTTTTTAGTACAAAAAATTTTAAAGCAATTTTTTAGTACAAAAATTAAAATTTTTGTACTAAAAAGTTACTTTAAGAAATAGTAAGAAAGCCGTCTCAAACGAAACCTTAGACTTACCAAATTCCTCTAATTGAAATGCTCATTTTAAAATACACAAAAGTCAACATGTGTTTGAACTTTTAGATGAACTTAAGTAGTTTTCAATTATGATTAATTCTAACTGCTTAATTTATGTTCATTTGAACTCACATTTATGCATTATTCTTTTTATTATAATAAGCATTCATTTCATCTACATAGTTATAATAATGCTCATGTCATTTACTTTAATGAAATTCTTTAATTATAGATTATGGATATTATAAATAATCATTTTTAGATATATAATAGATTTCTTACTGGACCCAAAAAATTAATAATAAAATTAAATTTTAATGAAGTTGAATATTTTATTCATCTTGCATGTCAACACCATATATTTATTAATGAAGAAAAGTTTATGTTTGTTCACCTAAATATCACCAAGCTCACATAAAAGTTAAGTTTACCCAATTTAATTAGTGGATGAAGTTCAATTGTAGACTTTAAAATGTGAATATCAACTCACTAATGTTACCTGAAAAACGACTATCACGTTATCAAATTAAAATTCTTCTTAGGTTTCGTTTTAGATGACTTTCTTACTGCTTCTTAAAGCGACTTTTAATATAAAAAATTTAATTTTTGTACTAAAATATTATTTTAAGAAGCAGTAAGTAAGTCATCCCAAATGAAACCTAAGTATACTCGGCTTTAAATCTTATTAAAGGACGTCACAAAGGCTTCGTTTGTGATGGCTTTTTTATTGCTTCTTAAAGCAACTTTCTAGTAAAAAATTAAAAATTTTATACTAAAATACTTATTTATTGCTTCTTAAAGATCCATTCCTTATATAGAAATATCTTATTAATGTGTTTTTAAAGCACTATAAGTGCTACAATTAGTAATATTTATTTTATAATAAGTGATGAGGGTGTAAGAAACTTGGGCATTTGTCTGGTAACTGTCGTCCCGTGGCTGACACTCCGTGTTTGGGCAAGTCTTCGATTTTGAATTTGATTAATACTGATGTGGGTCTCTCCCCTGTTGGTGATGAACCTGTGAGATCAACTCATTTAGATGATACTTTAAAAGATAATGCTATATGTGTTTTACCTGTGACACATTTGCCCATTGTTGATTCTGTTTTATCTTCTGTGGATGTTGTTGGTAACAATCAGAATACTATTTTTAACGATGAGCTCCAATTGAATGCTATGATTGGGATTAATTTGGTTGTTGTGGGTGATACTCCTTTTGGTGAAATGGCTGACACTTTGGATGGGAGTGCTCCAGTCATTGGTGCCCAGCGGGGTTATATTTTGGATCCATTGTTGAATAAGGCTAATGCTTATACGGTGTCTAGTCCTTCTAATCCTGTTGCTGTAGGGGTATTATAACTTTTTCAATATATTGATATATTTTTCAAACTTAAAATAGGATGATGGATTATAACTCATACTTAAGGCTTCATTTGGGATAATGTATAATCATTGCTTTTTTGCTGTTTTCAAAAAAAGTTTTGTACTAGAAAGCTGATGTAGAAATCAATAATAAAATTTGATACATCACAAAAAATCATCTTGATTAAGCACGAATCTCGATACAAATATAATATTGAGGTTTCCAAGATAAAAATGGGGACCATATTCAGCAACTTTATGGTAAAATTAAATATTTCAAGGAGACGAATCTAACAACATCAAATGTGATTCAAACCGAGCCCAAATGAGTCCAAATTAAGGGTCCAAAGCATATTTGAAAGGTTCAAAGCATTAATTGGATAACCAAGTAATCATCGAATGTGACATGCTTACAATCGAGTCGAGCGGCTCGACAAGATGAATCAAACGAGCCAAAGAACGCCCAATAAGTTTTGGCAAGCAACAATAATAGAGATTGAAAAGACTTTGCCTAATTTTCCTTCACTTTAGATCATACTATTTTCAACTCTCGACGAAAGAATAACTCTATATCAAATGCTATAGTATCTCCAATAGAAGCTAGCAACGTCTCAAATTCATTAACATTATACTGATATCTTTTCCAAACTCAAAATAGGATGATCCATTATAACTCATACTTAAGGCTTCATTTGGAACAATTTATGATCATTATTTTTTTACTATTTAAAAAAAAAATTATGCTAGAAAACTGCTATAGAAAGTAGTAAGAAAACTATTCCAAATCAAACTTTAATTACCTACTACTTATGAATTTTATTTCAATTTGATAAGACGAGTGATTTTAGATTTGTGAATTTTCCACATAAAGAAAAGTGTCATCAATTAGTTTTTTTATTTACATTTATGATTGTGCGAACAATCGTTCATAGTTAAGACGGTCACATTTTCTCCACCAAATCAACTGTTTGCATCAATGGATGACCAAAATTATTTAATTTGGCTAAAACTTCCACCTTTTACTTCATTCAACACAAATATGATAAATTGGTGTTAATAACTATTAGGAAGCATTGAAGGGTATTTCCTCACCTTCCTTTCCCTCCAAGTAACCAACGACTTCTTCCTCTTGTTATCTATTGTATTCATTACTAAGGGCCAGCAGCCATTGATTTCTCATCCAACGGTTCACATTCCTTGTGTGATTTATCGTCGCTGAAGACCCTGACCCAGTAAATGGCCATTGACCCGACCCGGAACTCTAGAAGCCCGCCCTATCATACAGCTAAGAGCTGACCATAACGCCACGCTCCGCATGACGTGTCATGTAAGGTTCTTTTCAAGGTTCAAAAAAAAAAAAATTTTTTTTTTTTCGTTTTAATTTATTTCCTTTCATTTTGTCGTAAGTTTGGAGCTCATAGATCATATAATACTCCTCCCAGGTGCGACTCGTGCACTTCCTGAAGGAGAAAGCCCGCCTGATTTCTCTCTTCTACTCCTTTCTTGGAGAAATCTTGCTAAAATCTAGGGTTAGGGTTTGTGAGGTGAGGCCAAGGAGCGGGAGATGGGGCAGAAGACGCTGATCTACAGCTTTGTGGCTCGAGGAACGATGATCCTAGCGGAGTACACGGAGTTCAAGGGAAACTTCATGGAGATCGCTTCGCAGTGTCTACAGAGGCTGCCGGCGAGTAACGACAAGTTCACTTACAGCTGCGATGGCCACACTTTCAATTACCTTGTTGAGAATGGATATGGTGAGTTCCAATAGCACCTTTGTTTTGTTTGGGGGCATTCGGTTTTCGAATATCGCTTCACCGATGGATGGTATGAGTTTCATAATTGATATAATCTGGATAAAACGCTGTTTATAATTGTTTCAGGTCCTAAAGAGTTTAATCATCCTATAGAGAAATTTAAGAGTTAATCAGTTTTTTAGTCATGATGATTCATCGGGCTTGAGTAGCACTAAGTATCTATAATTAATCATGAAATTTTACTATTCGGTACTAGAAATGATTAATTAGCTATCCAATAGACTCATCGGATCTTGTTACTAAGATTCGGGTGGTTGTGATATAATAATAGATTGATTACCAACAACTTAATCAAA